ATGGATTATCACTAAGCACCAGCTTGCACCAAATAACAACCTGTCTGCTCCAATCCTTAGGCCAATTCGCTATACTTAGCAGCCTAGCACTGGTACACATTCTTAAAGAGCCAATATGCGACTATGGTTGTTGCTACTATTTCTTTTATATTACAGTTATAAAACAACCCTTTATTGTAATGTACTCTGGTATTCTACTGCATATTCTTTGAGCAGCTTTCAATAAAGTAATATTGAATAGTAAGATATAAATAAGCATAAGGCACACAAAAATGCTTTTTAATATTTTAACAAAAATATCATACTTTAAAATGGATAGTGATGTTCAGTATGCAATAATCAAGGCATAAATGAATATATCTAACATACATAGTTTGCTTAATATAGCTGTAAATCAGGTCAAGTATAAATTACACAGACAACTCTATTCAGAGTAATCTTTTTATATATCATTTCCATACACCCCTGTCGATAAAATAGCAGTGACTCAGGAATAAATGATTCATTAGGCACTTAAAACTTCTTGTCTCGTGTAATTTATCTATATAATTTAAAATTACTGAAGAATCCCAAGGATCTTTTCTTGCTAAATTATTTTGAGATGATTTATATTTTACTAAGTTTCAAGGACACCTCCCCCCACCACACACACACACATTCAAAATTAGGTAACTATCAAAATTGCTGTCATAATTCATATATCCATAAGGGGAAAACTCATCCTAAAATAGAAAATTACAATTAGCAAAAACCATTCAATCTTTTTTTTACCTGTTACACAAAACAACCTGGTGATTATAAAGAGTTGAGGTGTCTATTTTAACTACCTGAAACAATTGAACACCACTTTTGAGTTTTCATTGTTCAATGTGTCTTTTTAAAATGAAATGTCCTGTCTATAACTTTATAATGAAAAATAAAAAAAGCACAAGTATTCTTCAAGTTGTTAGGGTAATTTCCTACATCATTCCCCAAATAAAAACTTGATCCAGCCAAATATTAAATTATTGAAATTACAAATCTGTTAATCTATAGCACATTTTACTCATTAGTGTAATTTTAAAATTCACTTTCATGTGATTGACTGTTTTAATCTTCCTTAACTTGTGAGTAACTGAAAATAAATGGTGCATTCCTAATACTATAAATATGAAAAATAGGAAGTACTTAGGGACTGCAGGCGAATACATTAAAATCAGTCAGTTTTCTAGTTAACATATTCTCATTCTGTTTGTGTACAAACCCACTGCATTGAGAAGACAGATCACAAATTCATGGCCTCACAAAAACATGGTCTCGATTTCATGTTATGACAGCAGAAATTGGCCCAAATCTCTAACCATTTCCCCTAAAGGATCCTGGCTGGCTGGTGCCATCCAGGTGAGGCAATCTGAACGAGGGGAACATCATGTGAAATTCCACTCATCTGTCAGTGTAGTGGATTATTTCTTGAGAGACTGAAATTGGCTGTTTGCTGTCTGAATACCATCAATCTTACCATGTAGGGAACAGCCAAACTGCCTGTAAGAGGCTGGGTGGCAGAGGGTGGGGATGGGGGGGGAGCCATTCCTAATCAGGTGAGGAGGCAGCTGTAAAGCTTTCACTCTCCCTCCATTCAAGGCTCTGAGTGAAAGATTTGTTATTTTCCACATTTCTCAGATACTTGGTATGCACGTGGAGTCTGCCCGCTCTTGCTTTATGAAAGAGGTGATTTTTCAAGCTTAGGCAAATGTGGCAGAGCTCAGGGTCTGCGGGTGTCTCATTTTTTCTCATCATGTCACTTGTTTTAACCGATTTGAGAAAATGAGATTATGTTTTTCCTTTTTGCTCATTTATCCAGCAATTTATTTATTTATTTGTTCATTTAGGGGTGGATTGTCACAGATAACTGACCCTGATTTCTATCTTGTTTTCATACACATTTCATTAGTGTCCCTGGAGATTTAAGACCTACAAGGCAAAACGTCACAACTCTCATCCAAAAAAGGCATATTTTTATTCTTAAAATCAAAAGATTGTATTAAAGGATCTGACTGGAATAATCTAGAATATGACTATGACCAAGATCTATCACCTTAATCTTTGCAGCTATTGTCAAAAACCAAGGAAAGTTGAATAAACATATTATATAGAACTATTGAATGTTAAGTTTAATATCATTTTAATCACTCTGCATCTAGGAAGGGATATTTATAGTTTCTTCATTTCAACAATAAAGCTGAAATGGGTCTCAAATGTATTAGCACTTGGGGTCAAAATTGGTTTCAGTGCTGCAGTTTCTTAGGGTATTTGACACACAGATCAACTATGCATTGGTTGATAATACACAAATTCTGAGGAAGAAAATGGAGAAAACAAATATTGAGTTTAATTTCAGCCAGAACCTAATATGTGATTTTCAGTTTAAAAATATGATATTTTAATAATAAGCCCTATAAAGACATAAGTTTAATTATTACACATAACCCGCACAGAAAAACTCCATATATTCACTGATTAACAGAGACAACTATGTGAAAGCTTGTTACAAATGGTACTGTATGTATTTCATGATTATATGCATAGAGTAAAATAAGACACATAGCATTGGTGGTATATTCTAGCCATGTACCACATGGTTAACAAAACAATAGCAAGAGAAAAAAAGAGTTGTTGCCTTGGCTATGTGGATTATTAGCTGTGTGAACAGCAAAACTTCATTCATCAAACATCCCTGGCTTGCAGGTTTACAGTCTATTAAGTGGGGACATCAGTAATTTCCAATATTTGTGAAGAATTTTACAGCTTACAAAAGACTTATTAGAAGTTATTTTTACTATATTTACACCCCACCTCACCCCCACCACCACCACATCTATAAATGGGAAATTAGAGCAGAAAAGTCAGTTGTCCAAGGTTATGTCACTAACCTTAAGTGACAGACTTGGATGGCCAGCCCTGAGCCCTGCCTTCTCCCCTCAACCACGTGCCACTCACCAGTTCTGCCATGGCCACCTCTCAGAATGGGTGTGCAGTTCAGATGAGACCAAGTTTTGACATAATGAAAGTTTTCAAAAATTATATGAAGGGGCTCACACTTCTGCAAAGAAGCTATTTGGCATGGTCACTTGGTGCACTGAGAGGCATTTTCCCCTCCTAGGGACACAGGCTCTGGCAGTGAATCATACTGATCTGACTTCCAAAGACAGCTATTCCCTGTGTGGCCTCAGACAAGCCACCTAACCTTTCAGAGTTTCTGTTTCCTGGGCAACAGGGGGAGAAATTACACCCATTTGCATCAGGATTCAACTAAACAGTGTGAATTAATCCTAAGAGACCTGCCTAAAACATACACGTAATAGTTGTTTTATCATGAATTCTTACTGTTGAGCATCACAACGAGTGCAGATGTCCCGCATTGTTTATTATTTATGACCATGTAGTGAAAGACATTTGTGCCAGAACTGACTGTGATTAAGCGATTGGAGGTAATGTGGGAATCTCAAATTCACTTTTGTTTTCCCTCCATCTCGGTTGCACTGAGGCTTGAGTGACTGTTCCCGCGCCAGGCTCCGGACACAGGATGCAGAAATACAAGCGCGTCCTGAAGCAGGGCGGTTTCCACGCCCACCTGCAGGGGCACTAGCGCCCCCTCGCCTTCCCTCTCAGACCAGGGCGTGGGGAAACAGGATGGCGGGGCCCGGAATCAGCCCCCAGCCTCAGCCCCAAGCACAAGCCAGCCCCACCCCTTCTCCCGGGGCGGCCCGAACTCCAACACCCAGCAGGCTTGCGCGCTCGCTGAAGCCTGGTGCAGGCGCGCGGGAGGACCCTGGGCTGCATCCGCGCTCTGACAAGCCTGCCCCCAGCAGGGAAGCTGAGCCCCGAGAGGCAGCAAGCGGGGCCCGGAAGGTATTGCTGGAGGACTGTACAGAAGAGCCTGGAATCGGTGTCCAGGCCGCCTGAGGAGCCAGGGAAAGGCAAGGGCATAGACGCTGGACCACGCAGCAGGAGGAAGCTCGACGGATGGGAGGAGGCCATTGATGGGATTTGGAGAGGCGGGTGGAGGGCTGGGAGCACTTCAGAACTCAGCATCAGAAACTTGGGCACGCAACTGGTCCCCAGAGCCCGAACTTGACCGTCGCGAGAGAGGAAGGGAGGGGAGGGAGGGAGGTTGGGTGGAGGATGAAGGCGGGGTGGGTAGTAGAAGGATGCGAAGGCTGATGCTGAACAGAAAATGGAAGGAAATTTTTCCGAGAACCGGGGAAGGTAAGGACAATCGAGCTGGGAGGGACTGTAATGAGAAAGCTGGTGAGGCAAAGAAGGAGAGCAAAATCCAGATTGAGGAGCGAGGCCGTGGATGGGTGAAAAATACACTGAACATTAAGAGGAAGAAAGCAAAATGCGTCCGGAACTAAAAATTCAATATAGGAAAAACAAAACAAAACAAAAATCAGGTGGGAGGGACCTCATCCCTGAAACTGCCAAAAGAGAGGGAAAAATGCCACTGAGCATACCGGAAGAACAGAAAGTGAAGGGAGAAAGGAAAGGAGGCATATTATACCAGACAAGAAATAGTAAGTTACTTTTTAATTTCTTTTTCATTGACAACTTGCTTCAAAAGTTAATTTGGGGACTATGCCCCCAACAAAATTCTTAGCCACATACAGACCAAGATTATAGTAGGTAAAATCCTCAAGTCTTGAAAGTTATTCCACCTTTTGCAGAATATTCTGCTATTGGCCAAAGCGTCCAAAAACAGATGACTTCTACTTTTCAAGGTGTGTAGAAGCAGGTGGGGTGACACTTAGAAAAACCCACCTTTTCTGAGAAATTAATAGGAATACCCCCAAGACATTTTGGCACACTCCCCTTCCCCCAAAGCATCTAGCCAACAATATGTCTTGGAATTCAAAGGCAAGCTGCCCACACTACAGCACTTTATGTCACTTGCATTCAACCATCTGTTAAGGAAACAGTGGTAAGACTGGAGGAGGCTGCAGTGGATCCAGCTCCTGACTTACCTGGTCTGTGCAGGTGATGCTGCTGGAAAGTGTGCTGAAGGGATCCATGGCAGAGTAGCATTGCACAAGCACTTATCCACAAATACAGGACCCAGGACATCGCAGAGACCATTGCCATTCTCTAAAGAGAACATTCGACAGGAAAGGTTACCCGCGGCTTCAAGCCCCCAGCTCAGTCAGCCCCACTGATGAGGGAAGGGAGGTCTCAGACGTCATGTTCCTTTGCTACTTCTCTGGCTAGAACTAATGATCCAGCAGAGGTCATGCCATGAAGTGGGATTGAGGGAAAGCCCTTTTCAGATGATCATACATTCATTTTTTTTCTTAATTCTGCAAAACTCCAAGGATTGCCAAAATGCAAAAATAAAGTTTTAGACTAGCAGTTAGTCAGTTTAAAACAATGCGTGCTGACTAAAAATCCTATTTTACACAATGATCTTTAAACTATAGTTATCTCAGGCACTGAAAAGCTGCAGAGTCCTCCTGTTCATTCTAACTTCATTGCAAGTCTGACATAAGCCTGGAAGGAAAGAGTGGGTTCTTTTTTTTTTTTTTAATTCTACAGTCATGAATTTTTAATTGCAATGCTGTCTTCTAAACTAAGTAATCATTTCTCAGAGGCATGTTGTAATCTCCTGATAGAACCGATCCTTTTGACTGGACCAAAGAATCAGAAGGGATTGTGTTTAGCCAGAATGAGTTTCAGATGCAAGACCTATGCTTCTATCCTAGAGCAAGCCATAATTTACAATATTGCTTAGCCTCCTAAGATTTCATTGTAGCTTTTGTTGTACAGCATTGATGAATATGTATATACAGGTGGCATATGTATTTATGGATGAATGTGTACCTTTTCTTGGGCACTGAAACTTTGACAGTCTTATCTGCACCTATGAGGATCTTAGGAACTACAAAGGCTCAACTGCGCTATATATTGTCCAATTTCTCAAACAACACCTTATGCTGCATTTCATATTGCCAAATTAATCAAACTTGAAGCACCGTCCTTACTCAGCCAGTTATAGGGAAGCATTTTCTACACAAGAATCCAGTTAACTGTATGCTTTTCTGTTAGGTCGAGAGGACTTCGGAAGAAGATTTCTTTCTTTCTTTTCCTTTTCACTGTCAAATCATACCCTTTGAAAACCTCAACTATACATTGAAAACGTGCTAGTAACCTCCCAGCCTGGCTTCTTTATTCATGAAAATTGGTTCTTTATTAAAAACTGTGATGTTCAGAAAACAAAAATATACATCATATATATGCACATAATGCAGGCTCATTTGTGAATTTTAGCAGACAGATAGAGCCTTGGAAGGATTTTAGGACTATAATAGACAAATGGTGACAACTATAATTAAGGGCAAAGTAGGAAAACATTATTTTCAACAGCTTGGTGCTATTCATGCCTAAGTCTGTGATTCAGATGGAGCATTCACTTTCTAATTAGTTTCACTGCCCACTGTTTACTTTTGTATACAACATACTTTGCCTTATTGTTTTCAGAACTATTGGGATAACATACATGCATTCTCTTCAGTGGAAATGAATAGCAGCACCCCTCCTGTGAAACCTAAAATGAATGTATTTGGGGACTTTTTCAGAATACCCTGCAAATTACAGAAAGACAAAACAGAGATGACTGTGAACGTATTTACTGCTTGTGAATTGCAGTTAAAATGTACTAGAAATTCACCTAAACTTGAAAAAAAAATCCTGCCACAACCAAAACTTAATAGTTTTTCAATGACTGCTTTCTCTTGCTCATTTCTTCACCCATATAGATCCTACCACTCAAAAGGATTACTGTGACTTGATGCTTGCAATATTTTCTTTTTTAATTTAACTTTCTTTAATTCTCAGCATTACTTCCAAACCTCCTGCATGCCACTCTCACTGTTTGCTCTTTTACCAAGAGGTTGTCTCAATGTTATTAAGTGTCTTCCCCAAATAAAGCATTCAGCCTTGCACAGTTCTCTAGACATGCCTGGATATGCTTCAGATCTGCTTCCTGAATCTTAAACCCTCAAAGATGCTTCTTACCTGAAAAATCCAGCCAAGAGCAGAGTACTCTATTAGTGTTCATTGGAAAGATCTAACACTTTTTAAAATCCATCTGTGCCACAATTTGAAATCTTTTTTCAAAGAGCTTCCCAACAATCTTCTTTATCAGGATTAAAAAAAAAAAAAAAATGTTACTCTCTTCCGATCCTATTTCCACAGTAAAAAAAAGAAAAAAAGAAAAAGAAAAAAAAGACATCGGGTTCATTCAGACTGTATTGTCAGAAAAGGAGCCAAGGTTTGAGGGGTGGAAACCTTGTCATTTTCACCTTTAAATCATCTCCTGGCGTCACCTCTGCCTGACGAGACCTTTGAAGTGATGGGGAGATAATGTGCAGTTTCCTGATGAGAATCGGTTTATAGTTGTCGATGGACCATCCCCACTCCAGTGCATTCGGGGCAGAGTAAGGCAGCAAAATGTAGGAGCAGGGCTGCTATACGGTGCTGTAAGTAGCAGTAGTCTGTTTCAATACATCCCTCCGCTCCAAAGTATCACATGTCTTAAAGTGACATTACCCTCTATTACAGCTACAGTGAATTGTAATATCTGCCCACTAACTCTTCAACAACTCAAGCAGCGCTTTAACACTATATTGCCTGATTTATTATGTTAGAGGTCCTACTGATACCATTGATTTAACAAAAGAGTAAAGAGGGAAGGAGAAACAAGAAAAAAAGCGTTCTGCAAAATACTGATAGTATTAGTGGGAGTTACACTTCTAACAGTAAATGGGAAAGTGAAATATAAGCCATTTCTTACCTCTTAATGTTCCTTTTACCAGTAAGTTAACCACAAATATTGTCAGGTTTATACTAATTTAAGTCTGCTGGTTGTTTCAGCAGTTAAATAGGAGACTAGAATTTACCTGGAATAGGACATAGATGCATATATGCATAAGTCCAGTAAAAACCTTCTGAACTTTTTGAACATGTTTAATAAATAAAAATGTGTTATTTGTAGCACCAAATGAAGAAATATGCTCACAGCTCTTTTTTAAAAAATTTTTCTCTCCTTCAAATAACATGCTGGGGTGGGGAGGGAAAACACTCAGGAGTTCAATGTCTTGTTTCTCGTACTGTGGTTTGAACCCTTTCTTCTTCAGAAATACAGTGTAATTTTGCCTAAACTTCAATGATGCATACAAGGGGACCCAGTTTTCATTTGTAGATTGCACAGGTAATAATTCTCTGAAATACCCTCAGTTATTTCACAGATCACTTATAAAGCACCTACTATGTGTTAGGTGCCTGGGGAACAACGCAGAAAACATGATTGATGAGATCCTCACTGTTATAGATCATACTGTCTAGTCTTTTATGGTGTTTTCAAAATCAAGGTAGTTCTCATAATATTCCTTCCTTGGAAACATTTTGAAATTCCCTAGGATACTCTTTTGCCTTTCAGAGGTACAATAAAGCAGGTCCGATGCTGCTGCACATCTTTGCAAGCAATTCTATTTTCTCATGTTACACACAGTGAGAGAGTGAGGGATCCTTCAGACTCGTCAATCTTGTCAGTTGGTCTTTCACATTGCACAAAACACACATAATAACTCTTTGTAATATAACAACTGTTCACTAAATCTTACATCTAAACAGATTTCTAAGTAGTAGTAAATATCAATCTCACAGTTAAAAATTAGTTAAAAATGCCAAAGTTCTAGTTGGTATTGCATGTTTCACATCTGTGCCTCATTCTAGTTGTTCATGAGTATGTACAGAAAGTTTACACTGATTGTACAGCATCAAGATAAACAAACAAACAAACAAACAAACAGCAGTGGTGGCAGGTAATGTTTATCAAACCTTCACCAGATGCTAGCACATTCTATAGTATGTCTTGTAAAGTCTAATTTAATTCTTTTTACCAGCCCCATAAGATAAGTATTATTATTATTATCTCTGTTTCACAGTTGGGGAATGTGAGAGGAGACAGGAAGGTTAAAGAACGTGCACAAGGTTGTATGGTAGTAAGTGATAGAGCAGATTTCAAGCCCAAGAGTACATTTCTAAACACTGGGATAAAATATTTAATGGAAAAAATAATCCAAAAATGTAACTATTATATTTTCTCATTTCTTTAACATTAAGATAGTCTCAAAAAATGATTATTCATTCTTTTTAGAGGTACATATTACACCAGATATTTGAAATACAGAAGTATACAAGACAGCCTTTGCCGCATGATTATTGTTGGTTGTGGTTTTACTATGCTAATGAATTAAAATTAAAAGGAAGTTCACCTTTGCTAATAAAGGCTACCATTTTGAAAACCTATAACCATTATGTTTTTCATTTCTAGAGAGTAAAATAAGGGTCAAGATAGTTACTTCCATAATTAAATTTAATCCACCACCTAATGGACTACACTCAAGGTATTCAGATAGGCATTGTTGAAAATTAAGAAAAAAAATACTGGAATAAAGACTTGCCTTAAGTATCATTCTAAATGTATGTAATGAAGTAAGAATATCAACAGAGTTCCATGCTTTTCTTCCAAATACCTTGCAGACCACTGCATTACAGCCAATGATCATTTGTGCTAATAATGTAAGAATCAACATATATTGATCTTTGAGGCCATTTAGTGTATTCTCCCAACTCAAAGCAAAACTACTCTCACATTTTTCAGAGAAGTTGAGCCTTTCCATCTTCTGACCATGGCAGGATTGCACTTCCTGATCCATTTAGGGTTGGGTATGCCATAAGGTTCAGCCAATGAGGTGTCTTTAGAACTGATGGCATTTCCTCAAGCAATAGAGCATTTAATTGCTGAAGTGACACCCTCAGATCTCTTCTTGCCTTTGAAGCAGGGACAAGCTGTGCTATCAGCCTGAGTCCTTGAGCAGAGGCCTCCTCTTCCCCTACCAATCTTTGATGGATCTACATAGTGAATAAGAAATAGTTTTCTGTTGAAGCAATTACAACTTAGGAGTTATTTGTTATTGTAGCATCATCTAGTCTATCCTGACTGATGAAAAGTTTATCTTGTAATTCACTTATTAATTGAATTTTTATGTTCCATGCACTGTACTAAGCCATGAGGAGAGCATTATACACATCAGTAATCACAACTATGTCCTAAAAATACAAAGCATTCACAAGGTAAACACCAAACAAACAAACAAAAAGCAGTAACAAAAAAAACACACACACACACAACAAAATAAAACCCAACTACTGCTTAAGAAAGAATAAAGATCCTTAGTAGCAACAGGGAACGCACACAGTTTGAAAGAGAAGCTAAATCATTTTCTATCAAACTGGTGATATTCAATACTACAATTTGGATCTGGATCCGTAAGGCAGAATTTTCAGTAACTGTAAGAAAAAGAAAATGGAAGACAAGATTTTTCTTAGGCTGGAAAAAAAGATAACCTTCATGTAGGAGTCTCATTTTTCACCTCCAGCAGTCTAGCTCTACAATTACTTTATCAACTATAATTCCTCATTTCTTATCTTGTCTGTCTTCCAGGTAGAAGAAAAAGAAAGAATAAGGTCCTTTCTTTTGTTCTTACAATTCTCATTTCTTTATTCTTTATTCTCCTTTTAGGACAGAGAGAAAGTTGAAATCCCATCAGCTTCACCTCCTTTTCTCTAACCAAAGCAATACATATATATTTTTATGGCAAATAAGTAGTCCCTTTTTTTTTGCAAGGAACATATATCAGAAGCACATAAAGGTCATGAAAATGATTGCTTTGGCAATAATAAAAATAATAATATGATTTTTTGGTTTATAAAACTTTCAAATCCATAGCTGATTTAAGATCAGATCCCCCAAAGCTACTTAATTCCAATCGCCATTCAACAACCCAATAGTTTGAGCCAGAAATGACTCTTCTGGACGTGTCTCTCCCCATAAACTTCCGCATCCAATCAGTCACTACCGCCTACTAATTCTACTTCCTGTTTATGCCTCAAATCCATCCAGTCTGCACCTCTCCATTCAACTACTGTCGTCCAGGCTACCATCATCTTTTACCTGAACTATAACAAGTATACTTGTCTTGGAGTATGTAGCTCCCACCTGTGTCTCCCCGACTCTGCATCTGGAGGGAGCATATTTGAGACACATGATGATTATGTCACTCCTGCTACTTAAAAACCTTTCAATGGTTTCCCATTGCACTTAAAACAAAGTCCAAATCTTATGTCCATGGTTGACGAGCCTCTGCATGAACTGGCCCACTTACTTCTCTAGCTTCATCTCTTACAAACGTTCTAACTCTTGGCTTCTAGTAGACTCTTCTCTTGGATCCTTGAATAGGATGGAGAAACTTTCTTTCCAAAACCTTCTCTAGTGCTCCAGACAAGATCAGGTCATTGTGCTATGTCCCCTTATATCCCTTGGGACAGCACGTCTAGAATCTTAAATACCAGTATAAATAGCAATTTCTGGAATTATTTGTTTAATGCCTGCTTTATCTCCTTACGAGAATCACCATAAGGGCAAGGAGGACAAGCATACTGGTCATTGCTGCATCTTCAGAGTCTAACATACTGCCTGGCATATAGTAGACAATAAAATGCTTGAATGAATAAATGAATAATAATGAATGAATCAAAAATAAAATACTAATTCACCATCAGGATGGCATGCATAATGAACTGCCTTTACAGATATAAGTAGATTTGACCAGGCGTTGTGGCTCACACCTATAATCCCAGCACTTTGGGAGGCTGAGGCAGGTGGATGGCCTGAGATCAGGCAAGACCAGCCTGGCAAACATGGTGAAACGCCATCTCTACTAAAAATACGAAAATTAGCCAGGTGTGGTGGCAGGCACCTGTAATCCCAGCTACTCAGGAGGCTGAAACAGGAGAATGGCTTGAACCCTGGAGGCGGAGGTTGCAGTGAGCCAAGATCACCATTGCACTCCAGCCTGGGTGACAAGAAAGAAAAAAAAGAAATAAGTAGATTTTGTGACCCTCCCCATAGCCTTTGCTAGTTTTTTTGGTAGGTAATGTATTCATGTATGAAGTGGTGACCCATATTCAAGGTGACCACCTTGCTCTGTTGCAATGACACTAAGTAAAGGAAATTGGCCTGTACACTGTTTAAAACAATGGCTAATCCAATCTGTCACTGATGGACATTTGTGGCACATATACACCATGGAATACTATGCAGCCATAAAAAAGGATGAGTTTGTGTCCTTTGTAGGGACATGGATGCAGCTGGAAACCATCATTCTTAGCAAACTATCACAAGAACAGAAAACCAAACACCGCATGTTCTCACTCATAGGTGGGAACTGAACAATGAGATCACTTGGACTCGGGAAGGGGAACATCACACACCGGGGCCTATCATGGGGAGGGGGGAGGAGGGAGGGATTGCATTGGGAGTTATACCTGATGTAAATGACGAGTTGATGGGTGCAGCACACCAACATGGCACAAGTATACATATGTAGCAAGCCTGCACGTTGTGCACATGTACCCTACAACTTAAAGTTTAATAATAATAAATAAATTTAAAAAAAAAAAAAAAAGAAAAAAACAATGACTACTTGCCACTAAATTTGTGTTGGATTTTTTTTTTTTTTTTTTTTTGCTAGAAGGAAAAAAAAAATGAAATCGTTGTGAATTTTCCACCCTGGTTCTCAGGATTTGATATCCAATATGATCTGATGGTAGATCTCACAGCTGATCCCTGGAGAATAAAAAAAGTCTACAGATGTTAAAAGTCAAAAGAAAGCACTTAGAATTTCAGTATATTGGACCTAGAAGAGACCCCCAAAATCTCCTTGTCTATCTAGCCTGTTATTTTTAGAAGATGAAGACCTAAGAAAGGGGAAGAGGCTTACTCAAAGGAACATGGTAAATTAGCTAGCATAGATGATATTAGAATACAACTTTCCCAATCTAATGTCGCTTTTTTGTGTGCTTCCCCACCCTCCAACATAGACACACACATACATAC